CTGTAGAAGTTGTTTTAATGGCGCTCAGGTATATTATATTATCTCATTTAATTTATATGTTAAATGGTATTATTGACTTTTTTTTCAAATAATGGTTTACAGAGCTGCGGATAAAGTATTTGGAAGTCATACAAATAAAAAAGGTTACAAAATTCTTCATGGTTGTTCTGTCGTTCAAGGTGATGCCGTTACCATTGAAAGTATGAAGATTATTCTGAATGCTGCCAAGGAAGCTGGCTATTCAGCACAAAATATAACTGTTGGCATGGGTGCTGGTCTCTTACAAAAAGTTAATCGAGATACGATGAGTTTCGCCACCAAATTATGTCACATTACTTATGCTGATGGAACACAAAGGTTAGCTTAGGTTCTAAATTTATTTTTATCATTTATGTTATTGGTAAAATTATACGTTTTAAATATATAGAGATGTTATGAAGATTCCTAAGACAGGATCCAAAAAGACTAGTTTACCGGGAGAATTCATTGTTAAGAAAAATGAACATGGTGTAAGTCAAAAACTGTTATTATTATTTCCTTTCAATTCTTTAAATTTCAAAATCTGAATTTTATTTTTCATATTGTAGGTGCCAATTGTCTATCCCAAAGAGGTTTGCGCTGAAAATGATCCTGAAAACTTACTGCGTGTAGTTTACGATCATGGTAAAGTATCGGAATGGGATGATTTTGATACTATCCGAAAACGCGTGGCTAAAGAGTGGCCACTTTTACCGTGCTCTTATGATAACATTAGTCCAGAACTTAAATCGAAAATTTCAAATTGTATTCAAGAGATCCAAAATAGTATTGCGCAATGAATTCTTATAGAAGATATATTTTACATTTACAGTAAAGTTAGCTTATTGTAAATAGTATACAAAGTTATTTTAAAGTATATTGTGTGTACTCTATAGTATGTAAATTAATAAAGATTGTAATTTTCTAGAAATGATACAAATTTCATATTGTGTGAATTTTTATTATAAACAAGGTCACGAAAAAAAATTTTTCATAATTCAGCCAAGTCAATAGAACAATTTAAAATTTATAAGAATTTTGCAAATGATACTAACAAAGCGATGCATAGCGTGAATTATATGAGTTTTATTATCTTTATTGAACAATAAAAAGCTTTTAAAATTATAATTTTTCCAAATCCAATCAAGTGAATTAAATAAAAACGAGAGAAAAAATTAATAAATTAATATTTTTAAACAGATTTAAAATCTTGAATCTAAAATCCCATATTTATTTCTGCTGCTAATCTAAGTTGCTTACCAATAAGGTCAACACAATATTTTTCTTTACCTCAAGGTGATTATGGTTTAAAAAAGTTGGTGAAAGCATTTTTGCAAAATGCCATTGCTAAGGCCTTTTTCCTTCTAAACAAACTTACTCTGAGATTCAGATAAGCTGGCATGGTGTTCTGCCAATTGCCTCAATTAATGCTTTTCTGCTTTTGAAAAAATGTGGATGTGATCTTTAAGTGCTTTTTCTCTCTTGACCCAAATTCATAACAAATTCATAATATTCTAATACATCGGTACATTAAAAACGTTAAGAATCTAAAAAAAAAAAAAAAATTGAACAATCACGATGAAATAACCTTGGGACGAGTGTTTGATATCTAATGTTCTCAATGTTCTCAATAATATTTAAAAAAAATTAAAATTCATGTTTTCTTTTGAGAATAATCTGAGAATATAAAGTTTATCATAAGATATATATGAAGATAATATATATATATATTTTAACAAGAATAATACTGTAAAAATTTTTTCAAAAACATAAATCTATCAATTTATGTTCTCGAAGAACAAAAATTTTTTCAGATATTTCACTGCTTGGGACCATCTTGGGAAAAGAATCGGACCGTTATCGGTCTTGCTAAGGGCTGGAACGGACTGTATCGATGAATCCCTAGGACAATAAACTAATAAAACTAAAACGAGGGTCATACATTGTTTTCGGATACTTGATACAAATTACTTTATATTTGCCGGCTAAATTAATCTAAATAAATGATTTAATAAGAAGTGGCAGATAATTTATAATTTTACAGCGATAGAATAACTTACAGAGCAACAAAATTTTTTTTGGCATATATTTTAAAGACTAATCATATCCGCGGATATATTTATTGCGGTTTGCAAAACTGTGATTGATTTTTTTATGATTAACTAGTCCCTTCAGATATTGTCTTCTTATTTTTGTTGAGGAAAAGAATTAACAATAGTCTCACTAAACGAAGTAAATATTAAGCTAAGAATCAGAATCCGATGAAGGTTCAAAGCAAAAATACCGTTGTATGCACGTATATGGGTGATTATTTTCG